GTTATTGTGAATAAAGTGGCAATGAACACTAGTGTTCAGGTAGCTAAATGAGCATCTGCTTTCAAGGTTTTTGGGGTGTATACCAGAGCAGATTGCTGGGTCATACAATATTCTTAAGTTTTTGAGGAATCACCAAATGGATTCTACAGTAGGTGCACTATTTTACATCCTTATCATCAGTGGACGAAGATTCCAATTTCTCCATCCTACTGTTGCTATAGCAAAAAATATAACAACTAGGTAGCTTTAACAAAGAAATCTATTTTCTCCCAGGTTAGGAGGAGTCAGAATGCTGGTTCTCCTTCTCTGTAAGCTCTGGGAGAAAGCCCTGGTTTCTTTTCAGCTTTCAGTTTCTTGGTTGTTTGAAGATCTTATGTGGCATGTCATCTTTCTTCCCTCATTCTACTTCTTTCTGCTTGCCTAATCTACTCAGAAAGATTGATTATAACATATGCTCCACTCAAAATGCCTCAATTAGCCTAACAAAGAGAGCTGTGTTCTTAAGTGGGATTATAACCACAGGTATAATAATAGGATTTACAACACCTGTTTTGGAGGAACATACTTCAGTGCATGTATTAGTCTGGGTGCTTTAGAGAAACAAATCCACAGAAACTCATGTATAAGAGAGAGTTTTATATGAAAGGTAAGTGCACATCAAGAAAACATCCTAACCCAGTGCTGCCCAAGCCCACAAGTCCAACATTAACCCATATGTCCAACCCAATCCACAGAGCCCTCCTCCATCTCACAAAACACGCAATGATGCCAACTGTGGGAGGAAAGCTGAGTCAGTAATGTATAAGCATCTCAGCACTGACAGGGGTCTAGCAGCTGCTCTAGCACCCAGGGCTGCATCGGGGTAGGTCCATGTGACTTCTCCTTGGGGATGTCTTGCAGGAAGTGAGCCTTGCCAGCTGAAGCAGGAACTGGCTCAGGCAGCTGCACCCTGGTCTGACCATCACAAAGCATGAGACCCGAGAACTAGAAAGGCAAGGCTCATCAAGCCATTTATCCCTCCTTTAATTACCCCCACATGTGTTTATCAGCCAGGTTGGCACAATAAAATAACTACCTCAGTGCATAATACCCACACTCATTAGTGTCCATTTGTTAGCTGATGTCACCATAGTGGACGTAAAGTGTGGCTCTTCTACTTCTTGATGGACATGTGGGTTGTTCCAGATTTTTGCTCCTGCCGAGCAGAGCTACAGTGAACATTTTTGCATTGTCTCAGTGCACATGCTCAGAGTCCATCCATCTGAGACAAAGCCTGAAAGGTTTGACAGTATTGTGCAAGGGAGGGTTTTGTCTAGCCTGGCTGGTGACAAGTGTAGAAATTGGTACAATGACCCTTGAAAATAATATTTGGAAGAGTTGAGCACATACCCAGCAAGCCCTTTCTCATCACAAGATTCATCTGCTGTGACAGTTTTTTTGTGTTGTCACCTTCATTTGACTTCTCTTTACTTCCCCCCCCCCTTATCTACCTATGCTTGTTCCTCCCTCCATCCTCCCACCCCTGTTATCATCATTAAGGGATATTTTCCTGGGCCACCTATTACAGGAAATGAAGGATGGGCAAGGCCTTATCACAGGCTGGCTGGGACTTTTCATACTGTCCTGGGCTTGTGCAGGACATCTGTCCTATATTTCCAAGCAGCCCCTGGAGAGCAGCAGTTTTGAGGCTTTCCCACAATGCTCCTGCTTCTGACAGCATGGCTTTTCTATGTGATTCCTCACTTAGTGTTACCCCTTCGTTACTCAGAGCCCTATCAGGTGCAGAGAAATCCCGGCTGCTGGCCGGCATGCTCCATCCCAACAGTCACAGAACTGGCAGATAGACTAGCTATTAGGGTGGGCTTCTCATCTCAAAGGAAGTAGAATTTTGCTGGCTCATCACACACCAGCATCCATAGTATCCTATCCCCTTCTCCCTTTCTTTTTGCATTCTTCATGTACCACCATCCCCATTTTATCTTCTGCTTTTACTGACTTTTCTTTTGAGAGCTGGAATCTTAACAGACACTGTGTTTTTTTGTTTTTAACTGACTCTGTTTTGTTCAAAGTAGTTGGCATTAAAATTTCCATGCTACTTGTTACTATTAGATAATCTCTGGAAAGAAGAGGGGGCAATACTGACTGTATACTATTCAAACCCAAAGCCTACTAGTATAGTATTTTTTAACTCATGTGAGTACACCTCTCAGTAAGAAGTAAGCTCCCAAAACAATACTTGTCCTTATGATGTGCGGTACACTCTTTTTGTTGTTGTTGTTCTATTAAAGTATTGATAAAATCAGTGCATTTGAACCCACTGAACTTTTCTCACAACCTATTCCATGGAATACAACCCACAGTTCAAATACTCACTGCCCTTCTGCAGATTAATCTGATTATAGAAGTGCCCTCTTAAATTTGTATCATGAGTCATGTTGACTCTTGTTTTGTTTTGTTTTTTCAACTTTCCTTTCTGAATTTGGTAATGATTTACAAGTTGTGTTGACTCTTATCAATGTGTTTTCTATAACTTTTAAGATTATGTGATTTTCTTCTTTAATTTGTTAAAATGGCCAAGTACATTAACAGATTTTTCTAACGTTAAACCAACCTTGCATTCTTGGTATAATTCCACTTGGATTTTTTTTTTTTTTTGTCTATTGTGTGTATGTGTATGTATACTGGAGTCTGCTCTAATACATTGCTGTACTTAATTAAGCATTTATTTAAGATTCTTACATCAATATTTCTAATTTTTTATTAGTGTTCCTGCCCGGTTTTGATAACAAGATTATGCTGGTTTTATAAGAGGAGTTGAGAAAGCAGTTCCTTTTCAGTACTGACACATTTTGTATACCATTAGGACTTTTGCTTCCTTCAGAGTTTGCTAGAATTGACCAGTGTGTATTTGTGTGTGGGGTCAAGTGAGGTGGAGAGATTTAAATGGATACCTCTGTCTCTTTTGGTAAGATATTTTAATATTTATTGAACCTACCTGATAAGTATAGGTTTTAAATTATAGTTGCCTAGATTTTCTAGCATATTGGCATAGGGTCATTCAAACTATTCTCGTACTGCTTTAATTTCTCTGCGTGTCTGTGTGCCATTTTGCATGTGTCTGTGTGCCTTCTCTTGTCCCTTAGCTTATGGATGCATCACTCCAGTTTCTTCCTTCATCTTCTCTGTCTTTCTGTGGTTTTTCTCTTCTCATAAAGACACCAGCCATATCAGATTAGCTCCCACCCTCCTCCACTATGATCTCATGTTAACTAATTACGTCTGCGAAAGACCCTCTTTACAAATCAAGTCACATTCACAGGTACCAAGAGTTAAAATACTTTTGATGGAACACAACCCATAGCAATTTGTTACTCTTAAAATTGTAACATAAATTCTTGATTTACATTGTGTGCTCACCTTCCCGACACAACTGCTGAAGACAAATGGGTGCATAAACAAGTGTGGTGAAGAAAGCTGATGGTGTCTGGCTATCAAAAGGTATAGGGCCTGGGTTCTTAAAGGCTTGAAGGTACACAAGCGGCCATCTAGCTCAGAGGCAACAAAGCCCACATAGAAGAAGCACTTCAGCCTGTGTGATCATGAGGTGTTGAAGGGATCAGGTACCACGCATCAAAACAAAAAAATCATGTCATTGTGAATGTGGGGGAGTGCGGAGTGGGGACCCAAAGCCATCTGTAGGTAACTGGACATCCCCTTACAGAAGGGTTCCGGGGCGGAGACGAGCCAGTCAAGGTGTAAGGTAGCAGTGATGAAACATACAACTTTCCTGTAGTTCTTAAATGCTTCCTCCCCTCACCCCTCACTTTCATGATCCCAATTCTACCTTACAAATCCCACTACCAGAGGATGTACACTGGTACAGATAGGAACTGGAAACATAGGGAACCCAGGACAGATAATCCCTTCAGGACCAGTCGTGAGAGTGGCGATACCGGGAGGGTGGAGGAAGGTGGGGTAGAAAGGGGGAACCGATTACAAGGATCTACATATAACCTCCTCCCTGAGGGATGGACAACAGAAAAGTGGGTGAAGGGAGACATCGGACAGTGTAAGATATGACAATAATAATTCATAAATTATCAAAGGTTCATGAGGGAGGGGAAACAATGAGGAGCTGATACCAAGGGCTCTAGTAGAAACCAAATGTTTTGAGAATGATGAGGGCAACAAAGGTATAAATGTGCTTGACACGATGGATGGATGTATGGATTGTGATAAGAGTTGTATGAGCCCCCAATAAAATGATTTAAAAAAATTTTTAATTCTTGATTTAATGTCTAAAGGTAATAGCGAGACCTTAGAATGATCTACCCTCTCCTGTTTTATGTATATAATATTATCTCCTGGTATTTTATTTCCATCTTAATGCTGTATCTCCAAAGGTAGCTGTCCCAAATATTCCTCTTACTCTCACCACTTCCCAGGCACACTAGCATAATGCACTACTTGTGATTTATAATTTACTCTTGTGCTCTCTCACTCCCGAGCTTTTATTCTTGCTGCTTCTTTTAAAACACTCTCATTCCCTTATCCTCTTTCCTTTGACTGTTACTATTCCTTAATATCTCAACGTAGACCTGAGTTTTTCCAAGAAGCTGCCCCTACTGACCATGCCTGAGCTGGGTCCTGTGATATTCTAACATGCATCCCTAGCACCAATGTGAAGACTGGTGCATTCGGCAGCCTGTTTACTTATCTGAGCATGACTTGAGGGGAAAGACTTTTGACTCTCTTGTTCTCCGTTGTTCCCCAGCACTAACAGAACCTGGCACACTGTTTAGTACATGGTTGCTATGATTGTTATCAGCACATTCATCTGCCATAACTTTCACATGGCTGTTTGTTGTATAAATAACTCCAAAGTATGCCAAGGAGCTTAGTGTTAAGTTACAACATCGACAAGGGTGAATATTGTTTCAGAGCTACATTTGAGGCCTTTGTTTCTTTACTTAGTCAATCATTTGCCCTTTTCTCACTAGGAACTAACCCAGGAGTGTGATGAAAAGAAATCCCAGTATGATAGCTGTGCAGCAGGCCTGGAAAGCAATCGATCCAAATTAGAACAGGTAAGAATGGAAGTTGCCAGAAGTTAGCTGCCAGCAAGTGCACTCTTCCACTACACCAACATCACAGGATTCCCAAGTCTAGTCTGTATTAGCACAAGGGAGGGGTCTTTACTTTTTCCAATTTAATTCTCCATCTGTACTGCTGCTTCCCAAGCCTAAGCCATCTATCTGCATCTTTTTCCTCAACTCCTATCATAACCTCAATTGCCACCTGGTTTCTCCACGACCATTCTCACCCTCCTAAAACTTATTCCTCACAGACCAGTCAAAGGAACCTTTGTAAAACCCAGTCCATCCTCCATTGGCTCCCCACTGCCCCTCCAATGAAATCTCACATCCAAACCAGGCTACCCAAGGCAGCATGTGCTTTAACCCCGGAGGCCTAGTTGACCTTATATCCATGGCTTCAGGCCTTGTCCACAGAGCTCCAGACACACTGACCTTCTTGTCCTTCACACAGACCAAGCTTCTTGTCAACTTGGGGCTTTTTCATTTGCTCTTTCTTCTACCTGGAGCCCCGGCCCCCACCCCATACACACACACACACACATCACCCCTCTGCCTTTGCATTTTTCTTGTCTTAGCCTGCACATCGTCTGTGTCCCACATTGCTCACTCTCCTTCCAGCATGGCCCACTCTCTCACTCCCTCCATCCCCCTTTGGCTGAGTTGCCTCCAGAGCCAATATGCCCATCTGAAATGGTCTTCATTGTGTGTGCCCTTGTTTCTGTCTGTTTACTCTGTTTGAGTGAGAGCAGACACCTGTCAGTCTTGTTTACTGCTGTGTCCCTAGCTCTTAGGGCAGCACTGGGCACACAGTAATATAGAGTTAAAACCTTAAAAAAATGAGGTTTTAGAGCATGAGTAACTCTAGAAAAGATGGTAAGCTATTCTATTTCAGATAGAAAGTTAAAAATCACAGAAGAGCAAATGATTATCATATTTCTTCTATGTTTAAAATCTTCATCTATACCTCTGTATTATTTTTGCAATACTACCACCCTTTCAAACTTATATATTGTAGGAAGTCAGAGTGCTCCGTGAAGAATGTCTTCAGGAAGAAAGTAAATACCATTACACAAATTGTATGATTAAGGTAAGATTGTTTTAAAATAAAAGGATACAGTGCTTTCCCGGAGCGTTTCTGTATAGAGCATACCTAAAGCTTAGTCTTTCCATTTAGAACCTTGGAGTACAACTTCGTCGTGCTACTGATGAGATAAAGGCTTATGTCTCATCTGATCAACAAGAGAAAAGAAAGGCAATCAGGCAAGTGTTTTCATTGTTTACACAGTGAATCTGAATGTTTTCACCTTTAGAAGTTTTATCTTTAAGATAGAATTATATATATTTGGAGTACTTTAAGAACACTTATACAAGGAGGATATTATTCAGGACCAAATCTTGTTAAAAATCTGGCTAGTCCAATCCTCTGACTAGGTAAGAATGCTTATACTTCTACAGTGTTGTTTTTTTAGTAAGCACAGAGAGTTCCTCTCTTGTTAGTGTGCTACCTGCCTGGCCTTCAGCTATCTGCCTACTATCCAAGCAGTGTGACAATGTTTCAGTTAGGAAACTGTGATTGCAGGGTGCCAGTCCTCAGATTGAGAAAGGGTGCAGACACCACCAGACCTTATATGGTGATTTTTATGGAATACTCTCATAAAACAGCTGCTTCCTTAAGTACATTACAGTGGAATTGCTCGCTGTGAGAAGATGCAGCAATTGAACAAGATAAGCTTTCTTTATCCTTCATTCCAAGTCGAATGTTTTGCTATTACCATCTTGGAAGAATTCAAGCCAAGTATAGACTTGACTTAAATCCTAGATTGCACTTACAATTTTGAGTAGCAAAGGCATTAATGTTAAAGAAAAGGATCTATGAAATAGAGTATCTATGTAGAATCTACATTTTATATACATGTATACAAAATGCTATGGAATGTAAGCCAGACTTACATTCTACAAATATATGACAGGGTGTTTTTTTCACAATAGTCTAATATAATACACTAAAAATGTATTTATACTTACTTTTTCACTTTGTTCAAATCTATATGGTCAGTGCTAAGAAATTTTAAAAGTTAATTGTGTTCTTTAAAATGAATAACTTTTATAAATTAAGTTTCATCTCACCCAAAGTTGACAATGTAAATAGTTGAAGTACTCGTGTCTTAAATATTGATTTTTTTCTCATCAGTTTTCTAACCAGATGTTATTTTTCATAATTTAAAAAATTATTATAAACTCCTCTCATTCATTGTTTTCCTGTAGAAGAATATTGTGCGATGACTAGAGTGATGCATGGTAAGAACAGATTGGAACTGACTGCATCTGCAGCTCACTGGTTCTTTATGTAAAATATGATATTTTTATTCCATTTCTGGCAAGATGAAAAGTATAAGAAATTTTCATGGCTTTGGAAAGGTGTTTGCAAATGTTTGTTGACTGATGCAACATCTAGTTCCGAGCACTAGATCAGGGTTTCTACCCGTGGTTTCTCACCCTGGTTTTTCTAGTTGCTGGCTATGCGTAAACAGGTCACTTCCTCATTGATAAAGTAAGGAGAACAATATGTACCATTGAGAATTGAGTTAGATGTAATATAGGAAAAAGTGCTCTGGAAATTATAGCCTGAGTCCCTGAGGGGAAGGACCTTGTCTGTCCTGTTTTCCATTTTAAATCCTCGGCCTTACTTGGCACAGAAGAAATGATCTGTCATTATTTTTTGAGTAAATGTGTTGAATAATGCATAAAAATTCGGTATTAGTATTATATGGAGAAGCAACATGAGCCTGTTAATTACTTGGATATATATTCTAAGAGAATTCGGGCATTTTTCAAGCCTAAGGTAGTCACTGAATTACTGAAAGCTAAGCTAGAACCCATACATTCTTCTTGAACAATTTGTCATTTATATCGTCCAAGCTTGCATTTATTGGAAAACTTGGGAGGCCAATAGTTTTACTTCTCATCAGTCAGCAGGATTGTGTTTACTCCCTTCCACCTCACGCTGTCCACAGATTCCTTCTTCACTTTAGCTCTGGTAGGACTTGAGATAGTTGAGACAGATCCTTTGTCCTTACTAATCACTCATGCCTTCCTTTTTATATAAAAGCTAGTCTTCCTTCGCTTACCAACAAAACCAAACCTCATGCTTTGAGTCAATTTTAACTCATAGTGACTTTATAGGACCAAGTAGAACCACTTCATAGGGTTTGTAGCTCTTTACAGAATTAGACTGCTTCATCTTTCTCCCACAGAGCTACTGGTGGATTCAAACCCACAACCTGTGGTTAACAGCTGAGCACTTAACCACTGTTCCACCAGGCTTCCTTTCCTTCACTTAAGCTGCTCCATTTTTTCTTTGTAATTTATGATTTCTTATCTTCTAAGATTTGTATTGTTTAATTCCCCAATTAAATACTACAAAGTAGCATTGCACAGAAAAGTAAGCATATTATATTCTTTCTCCATCTAGATTTAAGGTCTAAAGTTTCCTTTATCTTCTTTGTCTTTATCATCCTCCTTCAGTATTTGTCACTGTTATGTCACCCACATGAAGCTTTACCTCTTACCTTGTACACTATTAAAAATTATATTTTAAAAATACAGTATTATTTTTATTTTTTTATATTAAAGCTTTTAGGTTTTTTAACTTACTAAAGAATTGCTTGGGTAGCCAACATGTATCACAGCCTCCATTATCCTGAGACAAAAGAACTAGGTGATGCCAAGCCACCACTACTGACCATTCTGACCAGTGACATAACCACAGGTCCAGGGTGGAGAGAAAGAAAATTATGGAACAAAACTCAGTTTCCTAAAGAGTTCCAATAGATGCAAAAAGAAACCCTGGGATTATTGCCCTAAGATGGAACTGTAGCCTCTCCCAGTGGTCAATTTTCACCCACATGATATATTGGCTTATAAAATCAGCAATATCACATGTGCATACTGTGCTCCCTTAAATAATTAATTATGTAAGACCAAATGGTCAATCCTCACCATGCACCAGAGGTGAGGAGGTAAGGGAGGGTGAGAGAAGCTAGAGGAATAGAAGAACAGGAAAGTTGGGAATGTTGACACATTGTGAGAAATGTAACCAATATAATGGAACAGTTTGTGTAAACGTTGTTAAATGAGAACCTAACACAATAACATAACTATTGAAACAAAAGACATGGGATGTGGAGGAACCACCATGGAGTTTATTAAGCAAAATGTATTGTGTACATTGCCATGTCCAGAAGTTTCTCTTGGTAGCACTGTGGTATACAGTATTCCATAGTTTTGCCCTATGCCTTTGCTAAGTGTGTGTGTGTGTGTGTGTGTGTGTGTGTGTATGTGTGTTGGCAAGGGCATGGAGAAATATGTAAATCCATATTGTCATGTGTGCCATCAAGCTGACTGTAACTCAGAGAACAGAACTGCCCCATAGGGTGCCCTAGGTTGTAGTCTTTGCAGGAGCAGATCACCAGGTTGGTTTGTTTTTAATCAGTTTATTGGGGGCTCATACAACTCTTATCACAATCCATACATACATCCATTGTGTCAAGCACATTTGTACATTCATTGCCCTCATCATTCTCAAAACATTTGCTCTCCACCTAAGCCCCTGGCATCAGCTCCTCAATTTTCCCCCTTCCTCCCCATTTCCCCTCCCTAATGAACCCTTGATAATTTATAAATTATCCAACGTCCCCCTTCACCCACTTTTCTGTTGTCTGTTCCCCAGGAAAGAGGTTATATGTAGATCCTTGTAATCGGTTCTGTCTTTCCACCCCATCCTCCCTCCACCCTCCCAGTATCACCACTCTCACCACTGGTCCTGAAGGGATCATCCACCCTGGGTTCCCGGTGTTTCCAGTTCCCACCTGCACCAGTGCATAGCCTCTGGTCTAGCCAGATTTGTAAGGTAGAATTGGGATCATGATAGTGGAGGGGATGGGGGATCAAGGGGGGCCGGGAGGAAGCATTTAGGAACTAGAGGAAAGTTGTAAGTTTCATTGTTGCAACACTGCACCCTGACTGGCTCGTCTCCTCCCTGGAACCCTTCTGTAAGGGGATGTCCAGTTGCCTACAGATGGGCTTTGGGTCTCCACTCCGCACTCCCCCACTCATTCACAATGATATTATTTTTTTGTTCTTTGATGCCTGATACCTGATCCCTTCGACACCTTATGATCACACAGGCCGGTGTGTTTCTTCCATGTGGGCTTTGTTGCTTCTGAGATAGATGGCCACTTGTACCTTCAAGCCTTTAATACCCTAGACCTACATCCTTCGACAGCTAGGCACCGTCAGCTTTCTCACCACGTTTGCTTATGCACCCGCATTGTCATTAGCAATCTTGTCAGGAAGTGATCACCAGTCTTTTCTCTCTCAGATTTTGTTTATATCGGTGATCTTTTGGTTAGTAGCCAAGTATTTATTCATTGCACCAACAAAGGTCCTTATAAATATATATTCACATGCATATATTTGTGTGTACAAACACAAGAATAAACTACAGACACATTTTTCTCTTAATAATTCATCTAGAAATTTTCCACTTCACTGTTTCTAGATCTGCCCTCATTTACTTTTACAGGTATACAATACTCTTTCAAATGATTGTACCATAATTAATTTAAACATTTTCCAACTGTAAGCATTTAGGTTATTTGCAGATTTTAGCTATTATAAACAGTGTTGAAATATATGGGCCAACTTTTATGAAGTTATGGAAGCGTTTCTGTTGGGTGGTTACCCACACTGGAATTGCAGGGTTAGATGCTGCTTCATATTTATTTAAAATGTGTATCCTTTTTCCCTTCTGCAAACTTCTTCAAAAACAAAGTGTAATTTAAGCAAATTGGTTGGCATTGTTTTAAGAGTAAATTAGCCAGAAATAGTACTTAATGTTCTAATTCTCTGAACTTAATTTCATATGTGATGTTTTGTTTTTCCCCCTTGAAATTGCTATTTACGAGAACTGACTAATGATAGGGAAAGATAGAATATTTGGCAATAGGCTGCATTCTGACTCCAGTATCCTAACTTATATTGTCTAATATATTTAAGCATATGCTAATTTATAGTTTAGTTATATAATCAAATCAATTGAAGTAACTTAAAGATAAATTATTATCTTGTCTCCCTAGGGAACAGTATACGAAACACATTGCTGAACAGGAGAACCTTGGAAAGGTAATAATGTTGTGTTTGTTTGTTTTAATATGCCATATCTAATTCGGGTTTTTAGTACATGATTATGACATTGTCATTCTTACAAAAAGGTTATAGTATAGTTTTCTAGGGGAAATTAGATCCTGTTAATCCCTTTCAAAGATGAAGACCCTTAAGAATTTAGTTTCATAAAAGTGAAAGCATAAATGAATTAAAAATAACAAACATTTTATTGTGCTTTAAGTAACAGTTTACACAGTAAATTAATTCCATTCACTAATTCATGCCCACATTGCTCCTTGACATTGGTTGTAATCTCCACAATATGTTAGTGATCTCCCAGTTTCCCCCAGGACGCTTGTTTCCCCATTAGTCCAGTTTCCTAATCCTTCCTATTTTATCTTGTTGGGGTTTTTAGTTTGTTTGTTTCTGTGGGTTTTTTCTCTCGCAAATGTTGTCCTTTTGGTTTCACATAGTTGTAGTTCAAAGGAGCACATTCCGCATAGATGTTACTGTTTACTTTATAGGCTTCTCTATTGTTTCATTGAAAGGTGATCTCTAAGAGTAGCTTCAGTCCCACAATTAGAAGGGGGACTTCAGGCAATAATCTTGGGGAGTACTTCGATCTCTATTTGACTGTTAAGGCTGGTCCTTTTTTATGAATTTGAATTTTGTTCTATGTTTTTCTCCCATTCTAGCTAGAACCTTCTATTGCAGTAGTTCTCAACCTTCCTAATGCCATGACCCTTTAATACAGTTCTCTATGTTGTGGTTACCACCACCACCCCAACCATAAAATTATTTTCGTTGCTACATCATAACTGTGTCATTTTGCTACTGTTATGAATCAGGCAACCCCTGTGAAAGGGTCGTTCGACCCCCCAAAGGGGTCGTGCCCCATAGGTTGAGAACCGTTGTTCTGTTGTGTCGCAGGTCAGAATGATCAGTAGTAGTAGCAGCTAGGAACCTTCTAATTCTTCTGGCCTCAGGCTAGAGGAGATTGTGGTTCATGTGGGCCAGTGTCCTTTGGACTGATTGCTTCAGTGAATCTGGTTTTCTTGACACTCCTTTGCTCTGAGTAGGAACAGAAAAATAGCTGTATCTTAAATGACGGCTTGTAAGCTTTCAAGACCCAAGATCCTACTTAACAAACTATGTTGTAGAACATTGTCTTTATATGCTACTATACTGTGTCAATTGATCTAGATGTCTCCCAAGACAATGATCTTAGCCTTCATCCCAGTAACTCAGTCCTGAGAGGTAATTTACTATGTCAAAGAAGTTTTTATAGATATATGCTCTATTATATACATGAATATATATGCATCATATACAATGTGTATATAGACAAAGCCACAAGTATGCCTATATGTGCACATAGTTATAGTCCCATGACCTTGCCATTTAATATACATATCTAATCACTCAAAAATTATTGTTTCTTATTATATTGTTGCAATTTTTATATATTACAGTGAACCCTCGTTTATCGCGGTTAGTCGGTTCTAGACCCTACCGTGATAAATGAAATTGCCCGAAGTAGGATTCCTTATTTGTAAATCAAATATTTTCGTAGTTAGAGCATAGGGGACATGAAAAAAACACCCTTTAGTCACCATTACACTCGTATTACCCAATTTATTAAACGAAAAAGGGAAAATACAATAAAACATTTTGGACGTTACAATGATCATTTATTATTTCTTATATTATTTATGGCATCAAGCGTGTACAGTATGAGCCAATCAGTGGCAGTAATGACAGAGCATGCGCTGTTACGCAAAAACCGCGATAGAGTGAAGCCGCGGAAGTCGAAGCGCGAAGTGGCGAGGGTTCACTGTATACTATTTTTGAGTGTATTGAAGTCTTTACCATAGTTGTCCTTTATTCTTGCATACTTATCAGTGTCTTCCTTTGCCTTGGTCATGTGGTGCTGACCTCCCCCTTAGTGAGTGTTGCCTTTCCCTTCACAGAATTAGCATGTGTTTACTATCTAGTGAGGGTTTCTACTGGCCTCTGGCTTCTATCTCTGGTAGCCTTCAAGAAATGTGTCCTTCCGTATGTAAACCTATTCTTTTTTCTTTTTTAATCATTTTATTGGGGGCTCGTACAACTCTTAATCACAATCCATCCATCCATCCATTGTGTCAAGCACATTTGTACATTTGTTGCCATCATCATTCTCAAAATATTTACTTTTTACTTGAGCCCTTGGTATCAACTCCTCATTTTTCCCCTTCCCCCACCTCCCCACCCTTGTAAACCTATTTGTTGTTTTATTTTCATGGCCTAAATACAATACTTGCCCATTTTGACATTTCAGCCAGCATAATGTCCTCCAGATTCATCTATGTTGTGAAATGTTTTGCAGATTTATCGTTGTTTTTTTGTTAGCATTCCAGTATACCATTTTTTTTAATCATTTTACTGGGGGCTTGTACAACTCTTATCACAATCCATCCATCCATCCCCGTTGTGTGAAGCACATTTGTACATTTGTTGCCATCATCATTCTCAAAACATTTGCTTTCTGCTTGAGCCCTTGGTATCAGCTCTTCATTTTTTCCCCTCCCTCCCGCTCTTCCTTCCCTCATGAACCCTTGATAATTTATAAATTACTATTATTTTATCATATCTTATACTGTCCAATTTCTCTATCATTATTCTTTATCATTGGGTAATATCCCTTTTTTATCTATAAGCTGTTTATCCATTTATCTGTTGATGAACAGTTAGATTAGTTCCATCCTTTTGCTATTGTGATTAATGCTACAGCCAACATGGGTGTGCATGTATCTGTTCATCACAGTTCTTATTTCTTTAGGATGTATAGCGAGGACTAGGGTTACTGGATCACATGATATTTCTATTTACAGCTTTTTTAAGGAATTGCTACGCCATTTTTATCGTGATTGTGCCATTTACAGTCCCACCCAGAATGTATAAAAGTTCAAGTCTCCCTGCAACCTCATCAGCATTTGTTGTTTTCTGGGGATTTTCTGTTAGTGCCATTGTTGCCAGAATGAGATGATGTTTCATGGTAGTTTTGATAGGCTTCTCTCTAATGACTGGCAAAGAGACCTGGTGGCACACGGTTAATTAAAATACTCAGCTGCTAACTGAAAGGTTGCTGGTTCAATCCCATTCAGTCTGACTTTTCTGTAAAGATTCCATTGTTTAAAACCTATGGGGACACTTGTTCTCTGTCATATAGGTCACTTCAAGTCAGCATCAACTCGCTGGCCGCTGGTTTGGTTTTGAATGGCCAGCGATCAGGAAGGAACATCTTTTCATGTGTTTTCTGTAGACCACCTGAATGTCTTTTTTGCAGAAATGTTTGTACTTGTCCTTTGCCTGTTTTTCTGTTGAATCATTTCTCTTTTTTTGCTGTTGAGATGTTAGAGTTTTCTAAATGTTTTCCAGGTCAGATCCTCGTCAGAAATGTTATTGCCAAAAAAATATTTTTTCCATTCTGTTGATTGTCTTTTTGCTCTTTCGGTGAAGTGTTTTGAAGAACACAGCTACTTAGCTTTAAGAAGCAGAGGGTTATTACCAGGCTCTTTATAACAAATAAAAATGCCACATATCCATAGGAGTTTTTGAGATTATTTTCCGTTATCTCTGTTTATGAAGTAAGTATAAATGTACTCATTCATTTTATTTAATAAGTACAAAGCTGCTCTTATGAGCCAGGAGCTGGTCTAAGCTCTTTACAAATACAGATTCTCGTAATACAAACTGCTGACAAGCCCTGCCTGAGATACTCCGCTCCTTTCCTGCCAGCCTGGCGTCAGGGCGGTTGAGAAAGGAGTATTGTAGGTGGAGTTGGCTTCTCTCCATCCTCTGGGCCTCTCCTGGAAGAAGAGGAGGTGGTAAGGATCCTGACCATCAGGACTTATACTGCCAACTAATTGACTATTCTGCTTGACTTTATCAAACCACACATTTTAGCAGCTGGCTAAAGACCATCAGCTCCATTGTTTTTAATCTGTAGCTCAGAGGAAAGATGACCAACCACCAGGTAGCCTGGCTTGAGGCTTTGGACAAAACCCTTATCCATTCAGGAGCCTATGTTCATTTCCTCAGATAGAAACTGAAGTAGGTAGATTTGAGATTTAATTTTTTTTAATTGGCTGAATAAACTCTAAGGTTATCTATAATGATTTGAAGTCCTTATTGCACTGTGAAGGCTAACTACACTTCACTATCTACCCACTCTATCTGTTTCTCTTTGAGCTTCGCCATTGAAAGTTGAATTTCCTGACTTGATTTTCTAATGACAATGCTGACTTTGTAGCCTCATAGTCAGGCATGATTTAACTGCGTTATTGTTAAAATTCTGACAAATACAGGTGTATAATTTCACTGTTCAGATATTCTTGAGCCTGCAACCTTGAAATGATTATATATATATATCTATCTCAGAGCTGCTTGTGTATTCTTAAAGGGCAAATGGAAAGTAGGGCTTTGTTTCAGTCTGATGCATTTGTATGCTTTAACAAGATAATGGTCTGGCTCAGAAAATTGCTGAGGGCAAAATTATTTATTTTTATTATATTTTCAGATTTAAAATCATTTCTAAAAGCATATACACATTTCTGCTTTTACCTAAAAAATTGAATTTGTTCCCAGAAACGTGAAATAGTCTAAAAGTTAGCTTCAAAAAAGTATATGATTTAGAAAACAATAATGGAGTAGTTGCTAAATAAATGGTCAAGTGCACAAACAGGCACTCAGTGCATGTTTATTCTCTCTTCTCTGTCCCCCCCCCACCCGAACCCTCTCCAGTCTCTCCCCTTTCTCCTCCCCCTCCTTCTTCCCCTCCTTCACGCCCTCATTCTCTTTTTTAGAATTTTTTTATATTGGAAACATTCAGACCTATATAAAAGTAGAAAGAATAATATAATCAACGCCAGTGTCCTCATCAACCAATTTCAACAATTAAACCCATGGCCAATCTTATTTTTGGCTATAATTTAAACCACTAAACTGAAAACGAACAAACCCTTTGCCTATTCACCGCCTTGGAGTTTATTCTGACTCAAAGCCAATCCTATAGGACAGAGTAGAACTGCCCCATTGAGTTAACTCGGCCATGTATGATATAGATATGTTTCTCCCATGGAGCAGCTGCTGGGTTCAGACCAGTGTTCTTATTTTTGGTTAGCAGCTGAGTGCTTAACCAGTGCCCCATCCAAGTTCTCTCCTTATCTACCGTTGGTAGTTATTTTTTGTTGCTGTCGAGATAGCTGCCATCAAGATAGCTGCGATTCATGGTGACCCTACCTACAGCAGAAGGAAACACTGCCTGTGTCTGTGTCATCCCCACAACTGTTCCGTGTGAGTCCATTGTTGCAGCTACTATGTCATTCCATCTCACTGAGGGTCTTCCTCTCTTTTGATCACTTTCTTATTATCTTTACTCAAATTATTTTGAAGGAAATCACACATATCCTATTGTTTCCTCTGATTATAGTTCAGTATGTATCATAAAGACTTTTAAAAAATAGTCACAAAACTATTATCACTCTGAAAATAAATTTAGCAGCAATTGCATAATGTCCACCTCCCAGGTCAGTGCTCAAATTTCACCAATTGTCTTGTAATTTCTTAATAATTTATTTGTCTGAATCAGGATCCTGAAAAAAATTCTTATATTGCCATACGGTGAATACATCTTGTCTCTTTTTCCCTAGATTACACTTCCCTCTCTCTTTATTTTCTTTATAGTTTATTGGTTGGGTATAAACAAAACAAAACTGGTCATTTGTCCTATGTGTTCCTACATTCCACACTTGGCTGATGGTGTCCTGCTGGCATTGATTAGCATGCTCCTTCTGTGGCCTATGTTATAGCAGATGGATCTAAAGGCACTCTGAGTGGGGTGTGCTTCTCTCAGGTGGCAGTCTTTCAGAGATGCAGTCAGCCCTTGATGGTTTATTAACTTATTAGAGGATATTCTAATTGTGGCATTCCTTCTTCTTTAATTGGCTGGAATAATTCTGTAAAGAGCAACTTCTCCCTATGAACTATTTTGTTATCCTGCAGTACACATATAACAAAGGCAGACTTTGTGCTTGATTCACTGATTTACTCTGGTTTCCAAAATAAAAATTGCTGTCATCCTTCAAACGGATCTTTATGCCTCTTGAGTTCTAAATAAATGGTAATGGTGCTTCAGTTAATTACAGTGACTGTTCTGCTCAGTACTCCAAGTGCCCCAATGGGGGCCAGTGGGAGCCTCTTCCACTCAGCTCCGGAATCCTCTGGAAACAGTTGTGCTAGACTTGTTGGTTTCCTGATGCTTTGGTCTGACAGCATTCCAGGCTCATCCCATATACATTTCCTACCATAGACCCAGAGAATCGGTCATTTCTGTTTGCGTGGGTTTGTGAGTCAATGCCCGTTGTATGATTCAAAAAACTCACTGCCATGGAGTCAATTCCGATCCACCGCCACCCTACAGGACAGGTGCAACTGCTGCCCTGTGGATGTCCACAGCTATGACTCTTTTGGGGAGTAGAAAACCATGTTTTTCTTTCTTGGAGCAGCTGGTAGTTTTGAAAGGCTGACCTTATGATTAAGCAGCACAGTTCATAACCAGTGTGCCCCAAGGACCCCTTGCCCATCACATTAGTAAAAAACCAAATACATTTAAAAAAGAAATCTTTCTAAGGATTGTTTCTCCACTTACTACATACATTGGACATTCTGTATACTTTATTCGTTATGTACGATGATAATTCACCTGCTCAGAAGGAAAGGAAAAGAATTTGCATGTTCATGAGCATGCATTTGAGTCACTTTGTAATTATTTGTGGCGTATTTAACTACGGATTTTGTTTTTTTTAAAGACTACATATGGTTGGCAATAGACTTGTGTTTTATATGTAAAGTCTTTTTTCACACTTTCATTTTCATTTCTCACTGTCTTTTGTCTTAAAAAGTATTCTGGATAGAAGCCATGCAGAGAAGTACGTATTTATCAAGCTTTCAGCCTTTTCCAAGACCCAGAGTTAATTGCTAAGTCTGATTAAAAATTGCTCTTTCCCCTTTCCGTGAAGTGGTTTAATGCAAGATCTTTCGGGAAAGGGCCTTCTCCCTGTGAAATAGATGCCATTCCACAGCGAATTTATTTCAGCAAGATTAGTGATTGCCCAATTTCAGGCTAGATCATTTGAAACAAAGTTTCAAACAAGGGAAATAATGAGAATCTTGACACATTGTGAAGAATATAGCGCCCAGCTACTGAACCACTCTGTAGAAATAGTTGAATGGGAACCTCTAGTTCTATGTAAACCTTCACTGACAACACAATACAGCATTACTTTTTAAAAAGAAACGAAGTTTCTGTCTCCTCACTTCCCTTGGTGTAGATCTAAATGCTTAAGGCAAGCCCAGCACAAACCTTGCCTTTCAGAGGGAAGGGAGCCCACACCCTCAAAGCTACCATCAACCAGATATCCACAGACTTCCAGACAACATTTGTTTTCCGATCTGCTGTGGAATACTGTACTAGAGGGTGCAGCTTTTTCCCATACAATACACTCCTCCTCCTTTAAAGAATACTGAAGATTGTTGCAACTCTTAACACAATAAACTCTTGAGTGACAGTGATAAGATTAAAAATAAAGCAGGTACACCTTACCAAATCAGCTGTATTTGTAAAGTTAAGGGTTTCCCAGCACCTGTGATTATGAAGTACATTGAATTTAATATTTCAGACAGCCCCATCCTGTCTTTGGTTCTTTAAATAGCTTTTCTAGGTTGCTGGGATTTTTCACAAGCAAACGATTCTTGTAATTTTAAAGTTATAGTTTAAGGAGTACCTTAATCTTAACTCTTAAATTCCTGGTCTGACATAATGACCTCTCTAAATATTTTTATTTTAGATTATAAGGATAAACTTGTTGGCTATACGATGCCTTATTTATAGCATAGCCTTAAATAGACATATTCGCATGCCAACTATTTCATCATTTTCTTTAAAAAAATTCTTTTTCTCTCTTTCATTGTTTGCCATTAACTTTGCTTCCATTAATCCAAAGCTGGAGTGAGCGGATGAGTGTGGTCCTTTTCTTTGGAAACATACCAACTCCTACATTTTCATCTGTGACTGTAGACTTTTAGCTCACACACTAGCACATGAAGACGTGAGGAGCTTGCTATATAAATATGCTTCTTTGCCTTCGCTGTTTCTTTGTGCCCTGCTGGAGCCTTTGTAACACTTTGTGCAAACACTGATGTCTCTGGGCTCTTTTCACTGTTTCTTGGTTTCTGTCCTCTCCCCATCTCCCTGCCCCTTTCCCTCCCTGTAATCCTGTGTGTGTTGTCCCTGATATGCCTACCCCGTCTTCAGTCATTCAGCCTTAATTTGCTACAATAGGAAACCAAGGATACTTTGCATATATATTGAAAGTGTTTCTTACTCCTTTTTGTAATTGTAGAATCAGTAAGTAGAGCAGTTTGGGCATGCACAACCTTATTTGCTATTGTAACAACAATTCTGACATGGATTTAAGCCACTTAATAGTAGGCTTTTTTTTTTTTTTTTAAAGACTGAGCCTTCTCCTTATGAAATAGACATATAATTAGATTTGTGGAGAGCATGCTTACAGCATATCCTTTTTCAGTATATAATAGACTTTTTAATAATGCCATATACAACACTTGACCATTTGTCAAGTATGTTGACATCTATTATGTCATATGGAAAAATAATCTTATGAAGCAGATATTGTTATTGTCTCCTATTATTTTTCATAATTGACAGCTGAGAAAACTGAAGATGAGAAACTAACTGTCTTGCTTAAGGCCAGACAGGTAATGACAAAGCTAAGGTTTAAACTCAGTTTTTCTGAAACTAAAACTGAATCTCTCAGAGATATGATGTCATTGAGGTCCCCTCTTGAACCTGTATTGTCTGTTTTTCTGTGTTCCTGTAGATGAAACCTAGGATGATGATCCTACAGGGACAGCAAGTAGAATAAGGGCTTGGGGGGGGGGGGCCAGGTACACTGGTGGTGGTAGGGTAAAAGGGAGATGGTGATGGCAATTATACAATTCTGCTTGATGTGAATGAACTATGGAATTATATATGTATTAACTCCCAATTAATAATAAATTTTGGAAAAAAATGTAAAAAACAATAAATAAGGGAGGAGGGAGGGGAAAAATGAGGAGCTGATGGCAGGGGCTTAGGTGGAGAGCACATGTTTTGAGAATGATGAGGGCAATGAATGTACAAATATGCTTTACACAATTGATGTATGTATGGATTGTGATAAGAGTTGTATGAGCCCCTAATAAAACGATAAAAAAAACAATAAATAAATAAAACTAAAATGTTTGTCATAGACCATGATGCTGTTTGGCTTTCTTGTCCTCTTTTCCTTTTTCCCCTTTTCTTTTGTATTGTTCTAGTCTTTCTAACTTCATGTTGTTCTATTATTATAAATTTAGTTGGCTTTTATCACCTTAGTTCTGATACATCATAGGATAGCTTGTGATTAAGTTAATGATTTTCATCAAATATACAAAACAGGACGTAGTCTCTCACCATAGCAATAGAAGGAAATCCCTATCATTGATGCTTAATTATTCTTGGTTTGTTTTTGTTTTGCTTTGGCAGAAGCTCCGGGAAAAACAAAAAACTGTACGAGAAAGTCATGGTCCAAATATGAAACAAGCAAAAATGTGGCGTGATTTTGAACAATTGATGGAATGTAAGAAGCAGTGCTTTCTGAAACAGCAAAGCCAGATGTCCATTGGTCAGGTAATTCAGGAGGGAGGCGAGGATCGCCTGGTACTCTGAGCGCCTGTGTCCCCTTCATTGGGTTTTAATTGATGTTAGTGATCAACACAACCCTATGATGCATTTCCTTTCTTGAAAGTGATCTATACCTTTTCCTTTCAGATTAGCCATCCCCTATTAAGTTTTCTTGGAACATAATGTTAAGGTAGATTTAAAGTTATAAAGTTTTTTAACATATAAATGTGACTTTTATTGCTTTGTTTAGTTGAGACACCAGTGGTGTCTTCTGAGTTTTATGAGACAGGAGGCTAAGTTTACTATCTATAAATGTAAACATATGTCCATTAAGAATCATGTAGGATTTAAAACAGTAATAACCCAATGGCTTAATGTTTCTCTTAATCTTTTTTTTTAACTTTAGAGGAATCTTTTAGGAACTAGTATCTCTTGTTTTGAAGAAACATTTATCTGAAGTTCAGCAATTCCTACAGTTTCACTTCAGTTTCTTTCCTTCTGTTAAATTCAAGAAAATTGCTTAAATATTTTAAGCAATGTGTTTGTACTATTCATGTAATTAAAAGGCAAATAAAAGTTGTTGTATATCCATGGCTATTTATTTTGAAATTATGTTCTTTTTATATATACAAATCATTTTATTGGGGGCTCGGACAGCTCTTAGCACAATCCATACATACATCCATTGTGTCAAGCACATTTATACATTGGTTGCCCTCATCATTCTCAAAACATTTTCTTTTTACTTGAGCCCTTGGTATCAGCTCCTCATTTTTCCCCTCCCTCCCCCACTCTCCCTTCTTCACAAACCCTTGATAATTTATAAATTATTTTTTTTTCCATGTCTTACCCCAGGGAGTAGGTTTTATGTAGATGATTGTGATCGGTTCCCCTTTGTCCCCCACCTTCTCCTCACCCTCCTGGCATCTCTACTCTCATTATTGGTCCTCTACTCTCATTATTGGTCCTGAGGAATTTATCTGTCTTGGATTCCCTTTGTTTCCAGCTCTG